GCCCACTGTGAGCAACCAACCCCTCCCTCCCACCCCAGTATCCCCAAAAGCCTTAACTTGTGATTTTTGAGCCCTTTGGAGCGTCAATGCAGCAACACCCTAAAGCAAAGAATAATCATTTCTTACCAAAAACTTCCAAACGCTCTAAAATAGTCAAAACCTGTGGGGACAATGGCTGATGACTGATAATGTATTACATTATTACAATGCACAGAGGCAAAAATAATGTGATTTTTTAAAGTGTCCTCAGTAGACTAGAACATTTCTGACACTTTCCACTTTCTTGTAATAACCAAGTGATACTGTAGCAGTGAAAAGCCTGTTGATCTTGCCTGTTAAACACAGAAGTCAGCCTCAGTTTAGGAGCAGTTCTCATTCATCTACCTTGACTTTATGCATTTCTATCTGCAGACTGGACAAGAAATTGAGTTATTCTTGAGAAAGTGAATTATAGAAGAGCATAATTCCTAAGCAGAACTGTAACAAAGTCCAAGGTAATATTCTAAAAAAGTCAGATATTTATCCTGGCACTCTTTTTTTCAAGCTCAGAACTTATCAGGACTCTAGTACTTGTATTGATGTGACATTGTCTCTGTTATCTTGTACTTGTCTGTGCCTCATGGGTCTTCTGACCTGAACCTTTCTCTGTCTTAGCCAGTGGCCTCCCTTATTTCAGTCTTTGGTTTCCACAGATGTAGTTAAGATTGAGCACACTGAGGTTGTTGTCTTTACATTCTGAGATTACTCAAATATTGTTGGGTTTGCAATATTTAACAATATTTAATTAACTTAATTTAATTAATCTGTATAAGTCATATTTTTAATGGAATCATATTGTTTTTTCAGTTGTAAACACAATTTTAGCAAATAATGCAACTTTGTTGTGTTAAATGTTATTTAAAAAAGTAAGAAAGGATCTAATAGCAATGTAACACAAAGTGCTCCTGGTTCATGGATAGATGCTTGATCCACAAATAAAAGGGAATGGAAATAAATTATTTATTATCATGGTTATATGATTAAAAATAATCCCAATGCATATCGAAACACTGATCTTTGTACTTTAATGATTTTTGATACATTCGATACATTTTTATGTTGTTTTAAGTTTAAACTACCAAATTACGACAGAGTGATTAAAGTGATATTACAGCTGATTATGAACAAAATTACAGCAACAGTTTGAAGAATATTGAACTGGTTTTGTTTCTTTTGGTCTTGGTCTTAGTTTTGGCCCCATTTGGTCTTGAATCTCGAAACTTGACTTGGATTTATCTTAGACTTGACTTAAGTGGTCTTGGCCCAGGTTATTGCCACATAAACAGGGTCTTTACAGTATGTTGAGAGCGTGTATCTCATTCATCCTTACAACAAGGGCAATTGGGTGTCACTTCAGGGTACTTTTACTTGGCTTTGTGTACCCCTCTCTCTTTGTCATCTCTCCCCTGTCCAGTGCCTGCACTCTGCTCCACCCCTCTGCTCTCTGACAGCACTGTTTATTCAGGCCATGTTGGGCGGGGTGTCCTGTTCTCAAGGGCATCCTGTTTTGCAGCTGCTCCTGAGTGTCTGTTTCTCTTCGAGATTTCAAGGGATTTGTTTGGGTTGGGGATCTGGGTGTGTGTGTTTGTGTGTGTGTGTGTGTGTGTGTGTGTCTGTGTGTAGTGAGTATAAAAATTGACTCTGCCTTGTGAGCTTATCTCATGAATCGATCAACCACCACCAAATATTAAAGCGACACACGAGGCTCGGAAGGAGGCTAGGCTCTAGGCCAGATACAAAAACAACACACATATGTCAGTAAATGCGCACACAGAAAGCAAAAAGTACTGAATACAAACGCTGGCATTCGGTTGTTGTTATTATAAAAAGGAAGTTATAAGATAAGGTGTAACCTTTAAACTCCATTGACATTTTCAGTGGAACATATACATTTGGAATTTGATTGTTTCTGGCAGAAGTTTTGGGCTCCATTGTAGTGAGTATTCTATTTACATTTGTTTCTTAAACAAAAAGAACAATCAGACAATGTGATGAGACAGTTTTTGTTGAGTTTATTTTCTGCTTTCTGAACTATAACACAGAGCAAAGATGGTCAGGAGGCCTATTTGTACAGGACTGTGCGTTTGGTTTTAAGAGGAGTGAATATGTGAATAACTCATGTTAAGCCTACTTGATGTGTCATTAGTCTAATTAAATGAAACCTTTAATAAAGGAAAAGACTCAATGGAAAAACCTCAAAGACATACACCGCAGTCTCTCTCAGTCCTGTAATAAGTTGTTGCTCCTTCATGGTGAGTGTTAATGCCTGTCTGATGCTCTGATTTATGGTGATGTCCTCTTCCTGTCCTGTCAGTTTTTGTTGGATTAGCAAATCATTCTTTTGACATCTGACTAGAGTGTCTACATGGATGCTCACTCTATACTGTATAATGTATGATCACAGGTATTGCATATAAAATATCTTGAAATATGTGACAGTTACTTGAAGTCTTTTACTTTTGGGAAAATTGATTTATTACCATATTTTTAAGGCATATATAAATAAAATACCACAAAAAACAGTTCTATACTGTAAAAAACAAAGTCAAATAATGAAATAATTAATGAAATACAAGTAAGAATTAAAAAGAAAAAAAAAACAATTAACATTATTTTGCCCGCCATCAGCCGAAGCGAGCAGGTCAAGCAAACCTAAAGCTGAATAACGTAATGCAGTAATGTTATCTTAGCTTGAATTAACACTAGTCCTGAGCCCTGAATGGAAACTGGATGGAAGAATTGTTCACACATTATATCAGTTTAATTAAGCTTAAACGGCCCGTTAGCTGTAACTCACGGTAGCGTAACCAAGGTGATGGTGACAACACTGGCTTTAGCGTCAGTTAGCTATAAAATGCTATGATGGTACAGGGGATGTCAACTCCACCAACCCCAAGTTTAACCTTTGGGTCAGACGATAACTGTGAGTTACTGTAAGTTTTTACTTTGAATGTTTGTTTTCTTCAGTGTTTAGTTTTCATGTTTGTTTGTTTGTTGTTTTTTTTGTGTTCAGTGAAAGTTTATTCTGAGCATATTTCAGTGGAAACTTCATGTAAATTGTTGCAACTTCTTAGCTAGCTAGCTATTCAGCTACAACAACAACAACAACAACAAAACCTGCATAATTAATTAACATTAATCAACACTTTTTTTTAACCCAATCTTCCAGAAAATACCTTATTTTATTTATTCTAGCGTTTAATTTCCCATCATGTTTTATCTATTATATTAGTATTATTGGCTTTATCATATATTATCATATATTAGTGTTATTTTATGCTTTTAATTTTGTATCTTTTAATTGTTTAATCTTATTTGCCCCAGTGCAGTTTATTTTAAACAATTAAACTTTTTTCTGTATTCTTTTTATTTAACTTTTATTCTTCTATTCTTTTAATTCTACCTCACTTCCATATGATTTTTTTTGTCTGAGTTTAGTGCTGTATACATGAAGTTGTTATTATTATTATTATTAGTAGTAGTAGTAGTAGTAGTAGTAAACATTCGAAATAAACACTACTAAATTTACAGTTTTGCTAAGTAAAAACAAAAATAGGAGTAAGGCAGGACATCAGTAATAATTATGAGCTCATTAAAAATAGTATCTTAGATTTATGATTTTTTTAATAACTAGTTCGAGTGTGAAAGATTTACACTGAAAATCAGTGCAACATAGTGTGTTGAGAAAAAGACACATACATCTGCCTTAAATCGTATTTTTAAGAGTGAATAATTAGCTAATTTTAAGGAATAAGACATTAAACCAGCCATCTTACATCTTGTGGACATTAATAATGCACTCCATCATAAAAGATTAGCTACTATCTCATGTTACCATAGCACATATATAATAAATTAATACATCCTTAATTGTATCTTCAATCTTAAAAGGCTATTATCAATACCAATCATTTAGCAAACTTAATAGTTTCTTCTATTAAACTGCATTATAGCTGCCATGGAACAATTTAACATCCTGCTTTGGACATTTGGCCGGTTATCTACAGAAATAGGAAACATAAGCTCTAAACAACAACATAGATCAATGAATACAAGGTACATCCACATGACTTTTTTATGTGTTATTACGATTAATACCACAAATAGCCTTATTATATAAGAATCTTTTAGCATTTAGGAGACCATTACACACTGCACTAATAATAGAAATGGCAAATATGATTAAGGTGATTGACATCTTCCACATCTGTTCAATACTCAAAAGGCAAAGGTTAACACGACCACATGTTACA